CTTCCAGTTGGTCAGACGATTAATTCTCAACTCTACTGTGAACAACTGGAGAGATTACGCCACGCAATTGAAAAAAGAACAGCCCGAATTGCATAATAGGAAAAGTGTTGTCTTCCATCACGACAACGCCCGACCACACGTTTCTTTGACGACCCGTAAAAAATTACGTGAGTTTGGTTGGGAAATTTTGATGCACCCAACGTATAGTCCAAACATAGCACCCTCTGACCATCACTTGTTCCGATCTCTGCAGAACTCTCTCAATGGAATTAAACTGGCTTCAAAAGAAGCCTGTGAAAACCACTTGATTCAGTTTTTGAACCAGAAACCGCAGAAGTTCTTCACCGATGGCGTCATGATTCTACCCGAAAAATGGCGAAACATTGTCGATAATAATGCAGCATATTTGGTTTAAATAAATTCATTTTCACAATCTAAGAAATCCAGTTGAATTTTACTAACAAAACGCCACGAACTTTTCCCCAGACCCAATATTTCTTTCGCGAATTTAGCTACGCTTTCCTCTGGCTCGGCTGAAAAGTAATCGATTTTTCCGACCGGTTGGGCCGGGTCGTAGATGAAGTATTCGAGCAGTCGGATCAAGGGTCACTCACCGTCAGGACACGGTTCTCCTTTCTGCAAACATCCTTCAGATACATTGCCGTTCATGATCGCCTTATCGCAGCTGTGGCATCCATTAAGGCCGATGTTATTCTCGGGTCCCTGGCAGCCGCCCACGCAGTTCCCGTGACAGTCCTTGCAGACGCCGTTGTCGTTATACTTGGAGGACGGGCATTCGGGCACGCAGAACGGACCGTCCCGCGCGTGTTTGCACTTGGTGCAGTGCTCCGCGTTCGGTCCGGTGCAAGTGCCGTCGCATTCCTCGTGGCAGAGCTTGCAGGTCTTCTCGTCTGCCTGATAAATCCTGGAAAATACGAAGACGGTCGTTCGTGATCCGGTGTCGCGGAACGATTTACGTCTAGCGGTCGGATACATAGTGCGAGGCTAACAGGCATACAAAGCGAAAAGCTTAGATCTCCCCAGGCGAGTTTACCTTCGTTCCAGAATCTGAGGTAGGCGAATTTAAATACAACAAAAGTGACACACGTTATTCAAGGATTCGGTTGTTACGAGGTAGATCGGTTTGTCGGCGAGCATATTTACCCTGGCGCGGTGCAATCTTGCAGACAGTCGTTCCCTAGGATGAAGTTCTTGCACGACAAACACTGCGCCGGACCTGGACCCCAACAGCCCTCCTCGGAACACTGGCCGTCGCACACCAGTCCATCTTTTACTGCAATTGAAAACCGCTCGGTTAAGTGGACGATCGATTGCTGCGAACCGCGAGCCTTGAAATTCAGCATCGATTTAGCGACCTTCGTACTCGGTAATCAGAGAGGATTCGAAGACCCTCGAACCGTCAAGGTTCTTACGCTAGGAACGTTGACCGTGGCCCGGAAGCTTGCAAAAAAGAAATCAGTGTACTCACTGCACTCGGTCTCGTTCCGATTATTCGACAGCAAGCTCTCGTGTTCCGACGACTTCTTGATCCTGGTCCAGTTGATGCTCTGCGCGTAGCAGAGGTTTTTGTTCTCCAATATGGCGATCGATCCCGAGTAGATCTTCTTCAGCGAGCTGAGTCCGAACGAGACCAGCGACGTCTTCACGATGTACAAAGAGGCGAAGTACTCCGTGAGGGTTCTGCCGCCGATCATCTCGAGGTTCCGGAAGTAGGACAGGTTCTTGAAGTCCTTGTGGTCGCCCTGGATGTTCAGGAACCCGGTGATCTCCTTCAGCGTGCTGAACACTTCCAGCTTGTCGGGGTGCATCTTCTCGTATCGTTTGCCGAAGCTGAAGTTAGGGTAGACGTGCTGGAAGCCTTGGAAGCTCTGGTCCAGGATCGTGATCGAGCCCTCGATGATCGTGCAGTCGTTGAAGCTGTCTATGTTCCCGGAGTGCACTTTCTCGACGCCCTTGCAGGTTTTCGGGCAGGGGCCGTCGCAGGGCACGCACTCGCCGTTCAGGGCCTTCTTCTTCGGCGGACAGGACCTTACGCACGCCCCGTTGTCCTTCAAGAGGTGCTCCGGGCACTTTCTAACGCAAGTGGCGCCGTACGCGTATTTTCCATCGGGATTAGCTTCCCACGAGTACGTCGTTGGGTTGTACCTGAAAGCACCGACGTTTCAATACCGCAACCGGCTCGTAAACCTCGCGGAAATTCGATCCCCGGCCGTGCTCGAGTCGACCTAAGCAAGATTTATCGATAATAAGCGGACTATTGTAAATCGATACACTATTTTTCAAGCGCGGTGCTTAAGCACGAGATATACGCGCACGTCGACGTGGTCCTACAGATCGACCGACGTTTCCCGATTCAGCTCGCCGGCGAGCCTGGTTTTACTGCCGCATCGAACCGCGTTCCGTCAGGATCATGGCTTTACGCACGATATACGCTCGATCCACGGGGCATGATAATCCGATCCTGCCACTAGATCTCGGCTAGATCGGCGACGAAGTAAAATCGTCGAACGCTAAATTATTTTCTATTCGATGAGAGAGCTATTGCCTTTCGCTAAATCCTTTAGGTCGCGCATTCGCGTTTCTTCGGGGAGGATTCGAGATCGCTGAACGAGTCCTAGGGGGATTTCTACAATTTTAGTTTCAAATAGGACGCGCCGCGGCGCTTCGATTGGAGAACGATTTACAGTATTGTCTTCTTAACTGACGCTCTGATTGTGCACAAAAATGGACAATTTGGGAAGAGGAGATACGATTATTCGAGCCTTGCAGCTCATTTTATATAGGCTTTATATATACAGGGTGTCCCAGAAATGTCTCGCAATTCGGAAATGGAAGGTTCCTGAGGTCATTTGAAGCAACTTTTTCCTTTGCGAAAATTTTCTCCGAGGCTTCCTTTACGAGTTATTAACGAAAAACACTGACCAATAAGAGGCGAGCTCGGCTGGCGCGAGGCGACCGAGCCAATCAGCAGAACTGGGATCCGACCGCTGGCGCCGTTGGCTCAGCCGCCTCGCGCCAAATGATCTCGCCTCTGACTGGTCACTGTTTTTCGTTAATAACTCGTAAACGAAGCCGCGGATTGCATTTTCTCTAAGGAAAAAGTTGCTTCAAATGACCTCAGGAATCCCCTACTTTCAGATTGCGAGACATTTTTGGGATACCCTGTATATGCTATATATGCTTATTATAGCTATAAAAATAAACTACAAGGATCTAATAATCGTATCTGCTCTTCCCAAATTGTCTATTGTACTGGATACAGTAATGTCTCTCTAATTGACGCTCAGATTGTCCACAAAAATGGACAATTTAGGAAGAGGAGATACGATTATCTTACAGATTATTATATATATATATATATATAGAGATAGATATTTTATAGATTATTATAGTTACGAATTGTTAACAATTATAAAAACGAAACGCGAGGCTCGAATAATCGTATCTCCGCTTCCCAAATTGTCCATTTTTGTGCGCAATCTGAGCGTCAGTTAGGGAGACATTACTGTAATCTGAGCGTCAATTAGAGAGACATCGCCGTGCCCAGGGATCGGGATAAATAGAAATTTGTCCGAGATCCGTTCGGTGATCCTCGACGACGGGGTCTCTACTTACTTTTGCATGGGCGGGCATTCCTGCGTGCACACGCCGTCGTCGAAGAAGTTCTTGCAGGCGAGGCAGTCGCTCTGTTTCGGGCCCGTGCAGCCACCGGCGCAAAAAAGATGGCAACACTCCCGCGGATTGGGCCCGAAGCACCTGCCCTGCCAGCACTGCGGCGAGCAGTTCGTTTTCGAGAACCTTTGGCAGTTCTCGGGCCCCTCGCCCCAGCAGCCCTGCTCGCAGCTCTTGTCGCACTGCGGGCAGACGCGCTCCGGCGACGTGAAATTGTACACATAGGAATACGTCCCGCTCTGGCCGGTGATTATTTCGTCCCAGTTGATCGTGCGGATATGGCAGAGGTTGTAATTGTTGTACATGCCCACGCTGCCGTTGAGGATGTCTGGAAAACGAGCGGGGCGATTCAGTTTTCGTTGCCCAGACGGGACGCGTTTACCATTGAAAGGCTAATAACGGGATGCGAAGCGGCTACGAGCGCGCGCGCGCGCGTTCACGCGCCCCGGCGACCATTTAATTGCGCTATCTTTCAACGCGATTTTTACTATCGCTCGGGAACCTGCACGCGTTGCCAGAGCGTTCGATTTCAAGCCGAGAACCTCTTTATTCGACGCTTAATAGCTGTACAGCTTTGAACGTTAATTTTGTCGGGACATATTTTTGATAACTGAATTTTATTGATTAACCCTTTGCACTCGAAGCCGAATTAATGCAAAATTTAAATTAGCATCTCCGACCCACGATTTTTCAATTTTACATGCATTTTATGCATATGAAATTAAATATTGTGACCCATGTAGTAGTTACGCTTTCAACAGCTCTTTAAGTATAAACAAATTTGGTTAATCAAATTATTTTGAGACGTGACGGTTGCAAAAGGTTGACTTGTTCTATTGGGCAAGAGAAGGGATACAAGGGAATAAATATAAATATAAATGTAAATATAAATATAAATATAAATATAGATATAGATATAAATATAAATATAGATATAAATATAAATATAAATATAGATATAGATATAGATATAGATATAAATATAAATATAATACAAGGGAATAAATATAATAATAAAAAAAGAAAATTGATGCTTGCTGGGGGATAAAGGGTAAAGTAAGATCTGTACCTCTGAGGGCCGGCATCTCCAAGTTCTGCATCTGACACATCGTGACGAACAGGGCGAATTCGGTCTCGTGAATGTTGAGCTTGAACAGTGTTCTGCCGCGTATGATCTGCAGCCGCGGCAGGACGATCTTCCGGACGTCCACGTGGCTGATGAGGACGTAGCCGGTGACCTCCCGGATATACTGGAGGAAGCTGAGGTCGAAGGTCTCGTTCTGGAGCCATGTGATCTCCAGGTTGCCGTCGACATAAGTACAGTTGGTGTACCGGTCTCGAAGATTCCGGTAGTGGTGCTGCTTATTGGACGGAACGGAGAGGCGGCCATTGGTTCCGATGCAGACTGTAACAGAAAACAGGTCGACTTTCAGCAAAGAATTGCAGAAATTGATTTATAAGATGGTACTTTATATTTATATAATATAATATATATAATATAATAATAGCATACATCGCGCGATACTTTATATTTATATAGATTTTTCTCCCAGAAACGTTGATCGACGTGAACGTGTACAAAGAATTGGAATTGAAAATGGTTATGCGACGTTTTGATAATAATTATTGAAAATCGCTAATGGGAAAATAGAAATCGGTAGCCAGCTGTACACGCAAGCGTGAACGGTAATAAAGTCTCCCTAATTGACGTTCAGATTTTGCACAAAAATGGACAATTTAGGAAGAGGAGCCTTGCGAATTCGAGCCTTGCGACTCGTTTTTATAGTTACCGATTGTCAACAATTATAAAAACGAGCTGCAAGGCTCGAATAATCGTATCTCCCTTCCCAAATTGTCCATTTTTCTGCACAATTTGGGCGTCAATTAGGGGGACATTACTGTAGTACCGTTCAATCGAGAGTACAGTAATGTCTTTCTAATTGACGCTCAGATTGTCCAAAAAAGATGAACAATTTGGGAAGAGGAGATACGATTAATTTGAGTCTTGCGCCTCGTTTTAATAATTACCGATTCTCAACAACTATAAAAACGAGGCGCAAAGCTCGAATAATCGTGTCTCCTCCTTTCAAATTGTCCATTTTTGTGGACAATCTGAGCGTCAATTGGAGAGACATTACTGTAGCAGTGTCGCTCGATTAACCGTGAACTGAGATTAGTCACGAGGCGTGAAAAGATTGCCTAAAAGCGTGCGCGATCTCCGAGAGTCGGTACCGTCAATCACGAGACGACATCAGAATGACGTTTCACGAACGACGAGTGAAATGTAAACACTCGTCGCGCGACTTCCGTGCGTCGACGACCCTCTCGTTCATAGAATCACCGAGTGGAACGGGCTGAGGTCGCCACCCACATCGTCGAAAACGCTTCTCCCGATCTATAGATAGCTTTCTAAGGTTGAAAAGCGTGCCGCGCCGGTGGGCGAACCACTTCCATACACGCGAGCACCGTTGATTTCGTTGTGCAACCAGGCCCAGGTACACGGTGCTCCGATGATTCTTGCCGTGCGGCTCATTTGTCGTCTCGCTACGAACGGCCGGGATCATTCGAGCTCCGACTCGCTCCGAGTCGAACAAATGAAGCTTAGCAAGCACGAGCCATTTATGTATCCACCTGGTCCATTTATTTTCGATACCTTTCTCGTTCAATGGTATCTTTGCCGCGCTGAACACGATGCTCTTGTCTACGTCGACTTACATTATTTCGACGCGTTAACCTCTTAGGCACGACGCGCCACTATAGTGGCTTTCGCGGATGTCATCTCTCTGAACGACGCGCCACTATATCGGGTGTCCCAAAAATGTCTCGCAATCCGGAAATGGCGGGTTCCTCGGATCATTTGAAGCAGCTTCTTCCTTTACAAAAATTTTCTCCGAGGCACCGTTGACGAGTTATTAACGAAAAACAGTGGCCAATAAGAATCGAGTACGGCTGATGCGAGGCGGCCCAGCGAACCAGCGCAGGAAGCCCAGTTCCGCTCATTGGCTCGGTCGCCTCGCGCCAGCTGAGCTCGCCTCTCATTGATCACTGGTTTTCGTTAATAACTCGTTAATGGTGCCTCGGAGAAAATTTTTGTAAAGGAAAAAGTTGCTTCAAATGACCTGAGGAACCCGCCTCTTTCGAATTGCGAAACATTTTTGGGACACCCTGTAGTGGCTCGCTCTAGTAGCTCAATATACAGACGAAATACATACAGTATCAGACTCTGTACAGTACATATATATATATATATATATCAGAATTTGCCATCCAGGGAAATAGCCTCGCGCAGAATTCAGCCGTACCTAAAAGGTTAATTGTCGTTCATCGTATACGCGCGATACTTTCGTCAAATTTATCTCTTCGGGGACAAAATGTTTAGAAGCGGGTCAGGAGATTTGCAACGAATAAGCAGGCGTTGATTTGATAGTATGTAAAATGGAAATAATACTGCGTCGAAAAATAATTGAAAAATAACGAAAACCGTCGCGAAACTAAAATTAAATGTCCATCGACTTCGCAGCTTCAATTTTCTTAACGAAGCTGCTTCGAAGATTTCGGCGAACGCGTCGAATAAAATTCTCGCGCAGCCCCTGGTAAACAAATAAAGTAAGAATCGGCGAAAGTATCCCACCGAAAAACGTAATTGGGCCAATTACCATTCGCGCCGACAGACCCGCCGCTATCGGTATCATTCATAACTCTGCTAATAACCGGAACACCGATAGAAGGAAGGGAGGAGTCCGGTCGGGGCCCGCTCACGCCTCGTACAAAAACGGTCGCCGATGATCGACAGACGTCGGAGCGGGGCCCGTCCCTCAATTCGGACTTCTTCATCGGCTTACGTCTTCGTTTTCGTTGGTCGCGTCGCGTTGCATAGTCGCACGTACCCGGGCTCGTCTTTCGGGACCCGGTTTTGCCGGGTAACGCGGATCGCAAACGAAGTCCCCGGTCGCGTTCCGCCGGCGAAAAGGGCGGTCTTAATCTGATCAGGCGATCGGAATCATGCGAAAATAATTGCGCAACGACATCCTTCTTGCGCCGGGCCCGGCGTGTACATCCCGGAGCCGCGGCGCGCGGGGCGCCCTGCTCCGAACAAGGGGCGGCCTGGCCCACGGGAAAGAACGGAGGAACCGGGCCCTGGTATTCCCTGCCGGCCAGATGCTCCTCCGCTCACGAGACGAGCACCCTGCGGAACACGAAAGCCGAAGGCGCGGCTAGGCCCGGCTCGGGCCTCTCTGCGCGGCGCCACGGAATCGGAGAATGTGGATCGACGGCGGATCTGCATCGGTCCCCGGGTCCCTCGGTCGCGTTTCCAGCCGGCCTCGTCCAAGATTAATATCCTAATCGACGTGCAAGGTAAGAAAGAGCCGCGTTTCTTATGACCGGAATGCGGACTAGTCTCTGATTGCGAGGCATGCTCGCGCCGGACAAAAAGTTCATTAGGGTTATTAAATTTGTCGGCGTTCGTCCCTTGGTTGATACCCTGTCGCGACGCGTCTTGTTGCTCCCTCTGCGAATTCCTCGCTATATTTGTATCGCGAAACATCAGCTTGTGGGAATGGCTGCTCGATCCATGGGCATCTCGGGGCGCAAGGTCACGGTTCACGGAGAAACACGAGTCCTGTCAAAGTTTGCTTGTGTTTACTCCTGCATGATTGTAAAGATGCAGAAACTGATATCTTCTTTGACAAAAATATACAGGGTGTTACCGGACGGGTAGTACCATCGAAAATAAGTCGAAAAAAAGGAATAACATCTTTCTGTTTGAAGCTTCGTTTACGAGAAAATCGAGTTTGAAGATGCGTAGATAATAGTTTTATTGTTACAGTAATGTCTCCCTTACTGACGCTCAGATTGTCCCCAAAAATGGACAATTTGGGGAAAAGAGATACGATTATTCGAGCCTTGTGGTTTAGTGTTATAGTTATAAATTGTCCACAATTATAGAAACGAGCCGCAAGGCTCGAACAATCGCATCTCCTCTTCCCAAATTATCCATTTCTAGTGGACAATCTGCGCGTCAGTAAGGGAGACATTACTGTATATGCAGTTCAAAGATTCTCGTCGGTGTTTCAGAGAGAAAAATAATAATAACCGAGGGATAAAAAGCGAACGGATAAATTGGGCGAATTGTGCAGCGTCCGAATCGAGTTTATCGTTGCTCTAGCAAAAGAAATATGGCTCGAGAAAGAAGCGGACCATTTTCCCGTTTAAAAACCCGTCGAGTCGTGCGCGGCGGATTGGCCGCGCCGAGGCGATTAGCCGCGCGTTTCTACGAAAATTCCTCGGTGTTCACATACCGGAGGACTAATTAGCGGGGTTCGCGCGAATACATATAACGTCGCCGGCCGGCGATCATGGTTGTTTCGCGTTGCTCGGCGACGCGGCCGCGTGTAAAACTAGTCGGAGGGCGACTTCCGCTAACTGGCGAGGCGCCGTCGGTTTCCTTTTCAGGCTACGCGGCGGTGCTGAACTCTCTCGTACATCTCCGCGACTCGTCTGCCCGTCTGTTCGCTCGCTATTTTACAACGAAATCGTTCCTCCTCCCATCGCAGTTTTCTTTCCCTTTTAGATTCCGCTGGACGTGCGCGCCTCGTTCCACTTAGCTCCGTGACCAGCAAAATGGCGATGCCGATGCCGATGCCGATGCCGATGGAAACTCACGGGGAGCAGGAATATAAGGAGCGCTCGTTCCGAACCCTCCGGGGACGTGTCGATCACGGTTCTCTACTCTTCTTCTCGATCTTCTTCTTCTTCTCCTCCTCCATCTTCTTCTCCGGCGCCGTTTCTACGGAACTTTTCACCGCCGCTAACTTTTGCGCTTTCACGCTCCGGGATGATTAACGTTTGGCTCGTTAGAATTTTCTCTTCCTGAAACGTTCCCCATTCAAATCGACTCTGATTCATATACCTCGTCTCGTTGCAGTTCTTCGAGACGTTTTTTTAGACAAATCCGGAATAGATTTCTGAGGTTTAAGTAACTTCGATTAGCTGGTGAGCTATTCCCTTTGAAGATACGATCTCCAGAATGAAATGGAAAGAGCAGAATAAATGAACGCCAGGATTTCTATACCTCGCGTTCTGGCTGTTTTTTTTTATCCTTTTAGTAAAGTCGAAATTCAACAGTTAAAAGTTCTTTAACCGTTTGAGTCCCAAGCGGCGCCATCGCGCTGTTCAGATCTTGTCTCGCGATCAAACTTTAGTGACGCACTTGCATCGCATAGCTGCTTTTTTTCATCTTTTTTCTTTTTGTTTTGTTCGTCAATCTTGACGAGCACTGTCGCGCCCTATTGGTTCTCTTCGCAATCAATTAAGACAAGCGCTATCACGCCGTTCGGCATTTTTCGACCGTGTTCTCTGAATAATCCCTGGGACTCAAACGGTTAAAAAAATCGTCGTAAATAC